CATTATTGGTGAGTATGAAGGGAATTTGTGGTATCTTGTTTGAAGGAGCTATTCCGGTATTCGTCTGGAGGGACTCGAGAAAACCACAAACATGAGACGGCTTTGCAGGCCGAGTTTAAAACGCATTCATGTAGGACAGGCGTGACGTTTTACCATTGCTACAATATAACTTTACTTTGGAGACCAAATATTCTTTCATCACTGTCACAAGAGTTCGATCGGGCCCATATTCAGTTTTGTTTACGTTCTCAGAACCTGTGTTTCTGAAAATAAAAATTAACGGCGCAGAGTCCTTTTTACGAAGGTAGCACTTTCTCAGCTGTACAGGAAATCCTCCAGCTTTTATGAAACCAGAATGTTCATTGTCGTGTTCACAAGAGCTCGACATTGATCTCTATCAAATAAATCCAGGCGACGCCCTCATATCCTGTTTCTTCAAGTGCGCCGTGCATCTTATTCAAGTGCATGCCTGTGCCTTTCAAGTTGTTTCTTCCCTTCAGACTGAAATTTATTATGAATTTCACATCTCTAAAGAATAGACTACAAGCCCATCCCATATCATCTGTCGTGTTTTGATTACGGTAATAGACTGTTATGTAGTGAAGTGTCATTATGTCTGTTAGTTAATTGTGCTATTAGCCAGATATTATTTTGAAACACATTGAGGTCTTTTTTGTAAGATTCGCCCGCTCAAGCTAATTGTTGCCCGATTGGAACACTTGTTCCGGTAAATGGTTTCAAGGATTGGTATGACCGCTTCATGTGTCCAGATACGCTTTATGGATTCGAGTCTTCCCCCTGTGAACCCTCCCGTCTTGAGGAATGGGAATTACATCTTTATTGTGTTGTGCTAAGCGGCTCAGCAACTCCTGTCCTAGTCTAAACAGTTGTTGGTAGTTGTGTGTGGCGGACGATGTGGTACTCAGACAGGTTTTTCTCCGTGTGCATCGGTTTCCTTGCCCTTGTCAAATGGGCGCCGGCTATTAAAATTTACAGAGGGTGCTCAGGTTTGCGCTACAAATTCTCTCGACAGACAGGCACAAAACATTCAAAGAGCAGTCGTTGACAAAAATTCGGCGCCAGAAACACAAGGGACTAACCGAGAAGGACTAGTGCGTTGTCTCACCCCTCCCACTCTTGAATTCCGAATCTCCTTAAGAGCGGGAAGCGCTGTGTAAAACTATAAACATTTGACAGACAGTCATTCTAGGCGAAAATGTTGATTACAGAATCATTATTGGTAAATGCTTTAAAATTTAAATTGAAGGTAAGGGACTTTTAGGGCGTGCCCAGCACCCACTAAATGCGAGAAGTAGGTGCCCTAGCCCCAGGGCACCCACGTAGTCGGCGGCCATGTCTCAACCTATCATTCCGCCTCTGCTTCGTATTCACTTCAAGGATCATCTGACAGATGAATAAAGGCCTGTTACGAGACCCCGTTCCACAGATACATTCCTACCCCATCGCAACACCAGCATCAGCAAACTGTAGCACAATGTACAATGAGGTAAGCCGAAATGGAGGCCACATTATTTCCGTAGGGTCCAGATTGTACGAGATATATCCGGTAGCATGAATTATGACGTAGGCTTATTCCAGGAACCTGACTTGGTTGCGCGTAACATTGATGACTGTGGTTTTGAACCAGGGGATTGATGTATTGAAGCTTTGTACTTCCTCTGACGACTCTGTCAGTGGTGTACGACCTCCTTTCATGGTAGTATCAGTGACATTTGTATTGGTGGTCTGATCGTATTAGTGGCGCATGGACTTCGTGCACTGTTTGTTCTCTCAGTGGTGTCTAAATGTATTCAGTGGCATACAGTTTCGTTTTTCGTGCTAGTAAGTAGTTTCAGTTCCCTTTGTCATGACAGCAGATTCCTTTCCTGTTAATGTCGGTGACGTACAGATTCGTGTTGTAATGGTATCAGAGGCGCGCACTTTTGTCCTACAAAGCAATCAATTTTCCATGTCGTTTTTATGATATAACATTGACTTGCCGGTCCAGCTTCCTTTCGTGTTATTAGAGACGTATAAACCCCAAATGGAGGCCGCAGGATTGTCAGTGGCGTGAAATTCCCGTGTTGTTGACCGAGCAGCATTAAGTTCATGTTCGGGTTCTTCTTTGAGGATGCCAGCGATGGGCAAAGTATTCAGAAAGTTTGTTTCGGCTCTATTTTACCATTGTTCATCTCTTTTGCCTTTTATTTATTTTTATTCTCTTTATCCTTTCCTTTTCTATCTTTTCCCTCGGGAGGTCCTTTTCTCGTCCTTCCTTGTCCTTTGTTTCTTCCTCCTGTGCGCTCACAAGTTGATTGGGTTCCTCTTGTGCCCCCTCGTAGCGGACCCTCTGCATACGAAGTGCCGTCCTAAATATGACCCAAACCCCGTTGTTACCGGCCACGCGAGAGACATGCGTGTTGATATGATCCCATTACACCAGCCCCTGCTCCTCGCCGCAGTGCCGTCATTGGGCGAGAACTTTCTCTGTCCCTCTGGCAGTTCCTAATAACACCCCGCAAAAGCGTCCGTCTTCACATAATCTCTTTCAGCTTTCTTTCTTCAGTTATTTAAACTGCAGTGATGAAGGTACGAGCGGCTTATAATTTGTTCCTCTTTTAATCCCCTGTTGTCATCTTTATGGGCCTAGGAAGTGAAGTAAGGATGCTACTTTTTATTAGTTTCACGCAAATACTGCCTTGTGCGTTATAGCCCATCTTATCTCTACTGGGCGGGATTTGCTGTGCCGTAAATTATTTTGTTACCATTTTACGCTGTGGCAAATTCAAACCGAATCTCAATGTTATTTTCAGGGTTCAGTCTCTCCTGCCAGAAAGTGATTTAAACGGTGTTTAACTTGTTTTATCAGATAGTACTGTTTCATATTTTTCTGTATTTCTTATTATTGACTTCTCCTTGAGAAGCTAAATAGTAATGTCATGTAGTCAATAAATTCCCAGCCTTTTCTGGGGCCCGAAGTTTATTTGCTGTCTTCAGAAGAGCCCTGTCCTGTGCCACTTGGGTGTTATCCATACGATCCAACCCCATTTCCCCAAGATCGATTTTAGTAGTCTTCCATCTTCGCCTAGGTCTTCCTTCAGACTTGCCAACCAAAATTTCATATGAATGGCGCATCCATACATGCTGCATGTCCCGCCCATCTTATCTTTGATTATTTTCATCGTTGCCATGTTTGATGAAGAGCAAAGTTACGGAGCTCCTCATTGTGCTATTTTCTCCAACCTCCTCCCATTCATTCCTCTTGTTTACAAATATTCTACCGTGCGTATTATTTTAGTTTTCATTGTGTACGATAATCACTGTGATCGTCTGACGCCATGTGTGAAAGCGGGGAGACCAGTAAAGCGATTTACAATCAGTCCGCATGGGATTCGTGGTTGGCCAGATCTGCTTCAGAGCAGGCTGATTTCCTTGGGGACCTTCAGATTTGCCTACCGTTCAACCCCTCATTCCCTTCTTTAGCGTTCACTACAACCAATAGCATTGATAAGTCTTCTATATAAAATGACGCAGTTTCCTATCTGCCCGCATTCGTTAGAGCGTATTTTATTTCAAAGTAGGGAAGTTTTGGACTTCAGAGTAGCAAGAATTTTTAACTCTTAACATATGACGTGTTTTAGTCTGGAGCGGGGTTATTCCTTAGAAACTCATAGTCCTCTGATCAGGAAGTCCCCTGCCATTGTCTTACCATGTATCTTGAATGTTTTTCTTGTTTCTTCCGTGTGTGTTGCATTTCCGCTCATCTTGTTTTATTTATTAATATTTATTTTATTGTACGAATTATGAAGTTCATCATTATGCAGTTTCTCTAGTCTCTTCTGCTTGTCTCTGTCACATTGGAATATTCCCGTCACCCTGTTTTCAGACAGCCTTAATCACTTACTTCCCTTAGGCAAGAACGTGAAGTTAAATATTAGGGTCTCACAGTGGCATCTCTTCTTCCATGTTCCAAATGGCTGCAGCAGCAACTTCTACAGTCGTCACTGGTTTGTAACACATTTATTAAACCAGCAGGCCTGCGATTCACGTGTGAACTTCCTTAGACCTATAAAAGCCACGAATGTGTAATATCCTGTTGATCAAGTTTTGGATTTGTATCAGCCTGACACCAGCTGTGTTATTGATGTCCTCTGCAAATAAAATGGAGGCATTCTAGGACTGGTTTCTGCTCTTCACCGTGAGAATATGCCTCTGATATACAACCTGTATTTCCGGACAGTCTTCTCTTACTATTACTGTTCCAGGGATGTCCTCTTCTGAATTTAATAGTTCGTCTTAGTTCGGGTAGCGAGAGTAATCAAGACTGAACGCTGTGTGGAACAACTCTAGTCTCTTACGTAACTACCCCCTGTGACCTGTCGAATTTCTACAGGGAACTATTTCTTTCGGGAGACGTTTGTTTTCAAACTGTTCGTTCAGTTTTAAATACTCGTAAATAGTTTGTGCGGTCAAGATAGAGCAGTGTGTGCCGATGGTGTACACTGTGTTTACTCTATTATCTTTAGGCCCATTAGACGAAAAACCGAGTGGTATTTCTTTGGCCAGTCCCTCCAGGCAAGAAACTAACGTAAACAACGTTTTCCATTTAAAGTCATAACTGTGAATTATCAGACCTCTGTGAGGGCAGTCAAACATGTATCAAAGCAAGCAAACATCAAACGGCCTTAATATGACCGAGATCTGATAGGGATGGAATTTTCTGTGCTTTACACAGTTGTTGTTATCGTCTAACTAATTCCGTTTGTACCTCCTCGTAAAAGTGTTTGTAACGAAGTGATCTCTTACGTTCGTACATAGGGACGTATAATACGTGCGCACAGTTTAAAGTCAAGGTTGAAAAGGCGAATTGTTGCGTTTTACCTAAAAACTCTTTAGCCCAGAGTGATCTGGCCCTAAAATCATTGTGTAGTGTGGGCCTGTGCCCGAATGCCTTTCTCTGATGTACTTGTTGCTTACCTGTGATTTCTGTTCCTCTACAGGGGCCGCCGCCGCAACCCGGACAGCTCAAATTCACGGTGGCGGAAACCTGTGAGCGAATCAAGGAAGAGTTCAACTTCCTGCAAGCACAGTACCACACGTGAGTAACCCTGCTCGATACATAATCGTACATCGCCAGGAGCTAATGAGGGAACAGTGTCCGGTAATCGATTGAGTATTACTGTAACTTAGCATCCATCAGTCTACAAGAGGTTTGCGGTTTACGGTTTACGAAGTGTTATTGGGGACAGGTTTTTCTCCTAGTCCCTTGGTTTTCCCCTGTCAGCGTCATTCCACTGTTGCTTCATGTTAACTCTTGTATCGTGGGGGGAGAATGGTCAGGAGATTCATAGATACATAGTCGTAAAAACAAATTCGAATATTATGCTGTTTCGTATCTTTTCATTGTCAAAGTTTAAGTACAGTAATAACAGGAGATTAAAAGGAGGCATAACTTTCAGTTTAGAGTACCATCTGGTGACCATAGTTTCTGATCTACGTTACTTACCCATCATTTCGTCCTTCCGTCCGTCGCCAGTTTCAATCACGGACCAAATTTGATTGACCGAGCCGTTATGAACAACATGTCGTACTACCATTCTAACTTAGCACATCATTAACAGTACCAAAATGGCGGCTTTAACACTTGATGGAGGCAGCAAGGACCTCTGAAACGTAGGTAAACTTCTGCCAGAATACACGGCGCTACAACCCAGAAGACAGCTGTCTTAAATGAAAGAGGTTTGTATGGTCGGACATGTAACTCGCATTGAGGAAACAAGTTTTTACGCGAAGTTTCGCTGCTGGCATCTAATTGAACGTGTTCTTTATTTTTAATATAATGTTGTTTAGGGAATTTGCATTAACTAGGTTTGGTGGGTTGGATATGTAGTACCAATAATAATACACATGAGAGAAGAAATTGCACACTTTTAATACTGTTAAGGATTTTTTAAACGAGATTGGATGGTTCGGATGTTTAAAGCTCAAACCCCTTGTGAAAAACAAGAAATCTTTACGAAATTTTGGTTTTTAGGTAAGAAAATAAAGATTGAAACCTGTAAAAATATGTGTCTGCGCAATTGGTGATCGGATTGCTTTTTAGGAGTTCGTTCTTCGACCTTCTGGTGTGCTACACAAGAAAAGGGACACGCAGCTGTCATGAGTCCCTCTGCAAACGTTTTCCGATCATTTACTTTTGAGGGAGGAAAACACCGGTGTCACTAGACAGACAGATGGGGCTAAAGACCACGCTAGGCGTCACCAAGGTGGCATTCTCATTTTTCTGTCCGATCGTTCTGTTTGTGGTCCACCCTCATCGCTTACCCGCCGTTTGGTTGCTTTGATTGGAGTCAAAGCCAAGGAAAAGCGAATGGCTAGAATACGTGGGGATGGAAAGGGCACATGTCTCATAAACCAGACTTTCGTAAAAAGAAAAAAAAATTATTCATAATGTTTCAGTGTTCAAATATCTTGTACTTTGTTCCTCAAGTCGCTGTTTGCGAGACTTTTTTAATGCAAATGCATTCCTACTTCCTTGTCTGTAATTCTCTTCATTTGAAAGAACGTTATAACGAAAGGTGACATTACTAAACACATGTGACATAGAGATCGCATATAAACATGCACAAAACAGGAAGACTGGTAAATTGTAAAAGAGCGTAAGGATGCCGCACGACTCTTTGAATAATTCAGTAAGAGTTATGAATAGATCGACACCTGCAAATTCCCAGGGTGTATAGGCCTACAGCATACACACCGTATGTATACATAACTGCATTGAAATACAGTTCAAAACTAATCATGTATTGTAGACAATGCATATGAGTTGTGGCGGTTCGGTCAGTAATGTGAATGGTTACTGGATGAATGGACAGGGTTCAACTCGTGGAAGAGGCAGGAATATTTATCTTCGCCACCCCATTCACATCGGCTGTCGAGTCCACCCGGTTTCAAAAACACTGTATGGGGAGTAAAACAGCCGAGGCATGAAGCTGGTCATTCAGCTTCATCTAGCGCTCTTCTCTAGAATGCGTGCGTTACCTTAACTCCCCCTATACTCCATGGTGAGGTGCAGTCATAAGGAGACCTCGCAATATACAGAATGATCCAAAGTAGTTGTACAATATGTAAGCGGGTGAATGCATTGACAAGTTGATAGTCTCTCAGTTAAATGAGCGGCATTTTGTGGAATACGAATGTTCATTGCCGTATTTGACAGTGACCCGCCACCGAAGTTTTCAGCGTTATGATTTTAATTCAGTTGTTTTAACTGACGTACAAAGAGTCTTCTAAAGTAATGGAAAAATAATACGTCCAGTTATGTTATTTGCGGTTGCATTTCGTGTTGGCAATATCGAATTCACAGCTTTTTAAGTCAATAAGCAGCCCGCCATTGCCAATGTTTGATTGAAACGTCAAAATGAAAGGGCTTTTTGTTTCCCCGATTATGATGAATATCGAAGATTGAAGGAATTTGAATGCACAGTACCTAGGTGGATATTTGGACCTAATAGCAAGGAGTAAATATAAATTAATAACACAGAACATTGCGATTTATTCTCTGAAATTATGAATGGGATTGTTATCCTCTGAAGCCAAAGCTCAGTCCTTAGCGTAAAGAGGACACAAAGATCAGTTGGTTAACGTCGTTGAAAGAAATAGTCCCTGAGAATTGTACGAAGCATATAAATACAAAATTCTGTGTAACTTATTGTTGAAGCATGTGGTACAAATAGTTACCTTTGAATTTTAAACGGGTTAAGTCGCTCAGCTTCAGGCTGGCGGTGTTGCATGGATATTGGAAACAAGTAATGCATACAGATTTTTGTTGCAAACCTTGCTGTATGAGACCGTTACAGGATTAGTTATGTGTGGTGATTTGAACTGGTTCTTGATACGCCAAATGACGGGTTCTCTTTCAAGGGCTGGGTTTCATATTGAAACAAGATTTCTCGAATGCTAAAACTACTCGCGAATGTTCTGTATCATGTCGTTTCTTAGTCAAGGTCGAATGGTTTTGCTGTCGGGACTGGTGGCAGAACATCTTACAGTTTCGGGAGTCAGGAGAGCCAGGTACTCGTAGGCTGTTTGTAAGAAATCAAATTCTGTGTGGATTACTCGGAGTGCAAAAGTAATGTAAAGAAAACGCGAAGGCTCGTTAAAGGAAGTAAATGATGAACTACTGGCCAACGGAAATACGATGCAGAGTTAACAGATATCATTTTTATTTCCCTGACATCTCTCTCCTTCCCTTTGGATGCGTTTGAAATCAGCCCATATTCCCTTACTATTTATTTAGTATTCTGTCTGACGACAGGTCCATATGAACAGGAGCCTTCCATCCTTTTCTCGGACTGGGACCTGTTCATATACGTTCTTGGCAGATGATCCAGAATTGGTTTGCCATTGCCTTCTTCTGTGTGTGAATGGAGTAATTGTTGGGATGCCACGGAGAAACCGGGGAAGCCCCCGGAGGAAAACTCCGTGTTGCCTAGACCACGGCCTAGCCCAACACAAGTTATAAATTCGGGCACCGCCGGGAATCGAACCCGCGACCCCAGGATTACAAGGCCAGCGTTCTAACCGCTAGACCACCGTGGCGTTTTATTCCCGTACTATAGTACATATTTGACGTCACTGCTGTGTTCAGGTGGTCTCTGGGCTCCGGCCTCAAAATTCCGGGTAGTCGATATTTTTATTATTGATGTCCGAAATGAATTAATTCTGAAGTAGGTTTGGCTTCCGATCGCATGACATCGATACATTATTTCATGGCAGTTGTACCCGTTGGTTTAAAACTTATTGAATACGAACAGGTCAGACGCACTCACTAAGACATATCATTCAATATTTATGAAATAAGGGAAGTAAGCTTGTGGTAGAGAATACTGTGATGAATTGCTCCATAAAACAGTTTTTATTTAAGATACGTGCGCCTGCGTATTGAATGATCATGTGAAGCTGAAAAGTGAACGGAGAAATCAGAACATCGCGTGAACGAAAGTGAAGTTTAACTGCCCCCATCATCGGGATTCCTGAGAGACAAAAAGTTTTTCTGAAATGTTTTTTTCATTATCTACCGGAATACGCTTTGCTACATCCTTGAAGACTGCGATGTTCATTCTCGTCGCCGCGATAACCTAACATCGCACCTAAGTGTCTTACTGTGTGTTAAACGTGTTAAGTGTGTTCCGTGTGCGGAGAACCGGCACTTGGTGGAACAGTCCTCGCACGCTCTTTCCGTTTGATGGCTGTAATGCTATTACCAGTTTCACTAGCATGTGTCCAGTGTGAGAGTGCTTCTCGAATAGGATGAACCTGTGGCAGCGGCTAAACAGCTAGTGGAACACTACACTTTGTTCCCAAATGCGTTTCTTTTCTTCGATTATTACTGCTGCATATCGTACGGTTGTATAGGCAACAGATATTCGACAAGGTTAATGTTTTCACAACTGATAATATCATCACTACCACTTGTGCTTTGGTGGAGGAAGGGTGTTTCTTCTGTCATTGTCTTCAGGCATTTCATAGTTTGTAGGATTTCAGGTTCGTACATCGTTCGAGTACGATGTTGGTTGTCTTCTGGGTTGTAATGTGTGTAGTCTGGTAGAAGTTTCAGAGACCTTTTCTGTATAGCCCTGATGATGGAGGCAGCAAGGATTTTTGAGACGTCGGTACTTCTAACAGACCACATGGCGCTACAACCCAGAAGACAGCCATTTTAATTTCACAGTTTTATTTCTCTTGAATTGAATAAAATTTTCATTATTGAATTTTATGTTATCAAAGATGAAGATGTCGATCGTGGTCTTCGCAGTTCGAAAACACCACAGACAATTTTAATTATTGGATTTTTTATTTTCTTCATAAGTTGCTGATTTTGTTCAAATGCATTAAATGCTGATAGGATACCAATTCATGTGCAATACACATAGATCATTGTTTAAACTTTGATCGCGTTCCTGAGGTCAGATAATGTTAAATGGCTTTGGCCTTTTGCCATTATATTGTAGTGATCACTCAATACAATCTCTCTGAGAATCCCTGAAACATGGCATTTGTTTTGTGTTGCCGCTGTGTGTATTGATAAGGCTCGGTCTATAGAAAGCTATTTAATTGAAATCTCAAGTACCGTAAAGTCGAGAGCAACTATAATTAAACTCCTTATCAGTGGACAAGAAATAATACGCATGTGTTGAAAAGGGTTGCATGTATGGTTGACTGGTTTATTTTACTACTTTGGATGTTTTTAGATATAAAGTTTTGAAAAAGTTTTATTAATATTTAAGTGCCTTAGTTGAAGATGTTATCGAACCTGTCAATTATGGCAACATTAAGATGTGGTATAAGAGCGTTTTTAAGTCCTGCATCTAAATTCAGTCACTCCAAGGCCGTCTGTATATCTTTGTTCATTTAACGACACTGTATGTATTACGTAGATTATATATTTTCAAATGACGAAAATGATTATAAATCATGTACTGTGGCGAAATTGCCACGGTGGTCTAGCGGTTAGAACGCTGGCCTTGTAATCCTGGGGTCTCGGGTTCGATTCCCGGTGGTGCCCGAATTTATAACTTGTGTTGGGCAAGGCCGTGGCCTAGGCAACACGGAGTTTTCCTCATTGGCATCCCAACAATTACTCCATTCACGCACAGAAGAAGGCAATGGCAAACCGCTTCTGGATCATCTGCCAAGAACGTATATGAACAGGTCCCAGTCCGAGAAAAGGATGGAAGGATCCTGTTCATATGGACCTGTCGTCAGACAGAACACTAAATAATATAATAAATAAATAAGTTAACTGCGTCGGGCGCTGTGAGGTTGTGACGAGTTGTTAATTATTCGAAACGAGCTTTTGTTTCGTGAGTTCATAACAAATATCAGACACATTCCTATATCACACTGCAGATGAAATCATAAAAATTCCCAAAGAACTGTTGAGTGGAAAATATAAAACAACGTATCGAGAAAAAATGGTGGAACCTCCATCATCCAGACTAATAAGTCACTTCTGACTCTACTCTGCTATTCTGGGATTGTACTATCAAGATATCTTTAGAGGTTCTGGCCGCTTCAAGGTCGTGCTAATGGGTGTTCCACTGACTGTTAAGAAAACATCGGTAGAGTAATGCCCTCCCTCTTCTGACTTACTGTGAATTATCTTGTTAAACTTTTGTATTTTGGTGTTGCCAGTTTATATAGGTCTGTGCTAAAAGTCCTGAATTTTATACATCCGGTCAGACCCGTTCCAAGTCCATGTGTATGGAATTTACGTGCTTGAAATTGAGCAGGTAGGTGCGGTGAGGTGATGTGGGGTAGCTATAGACAAGGGTGTTACCACAAGGCACGGCTCTCTTGATACATGGCTTGATCACTTGTTTCAGGCTGAAACTGGAGTGTGAGAAACTTGCAAGCGAGAAGACCGAGATGCAACGCCACTACGTCATGGTGAGTACTGCTGTAATTTAATCAGGGGTGCCAACACACAAGACATATCGTCACAGTAATTAAATCATAATAAAAAGTTGTGGCTGCGAAAGGGCGAGAAAGCTGAAGGAGGGTTGTTCAAATACGCTTGGAGAAGTCTGTAAAAGGAAACAAGGCAGTGCCGCGTGTATACGTTGTGCTCGTAACCATGCGAAATGCCTCGTGGCACATAAAACATGTATAATATAGGTTCCAAAATATCATTGTAATTCATGAAGAATAATGAGTTGTAGCGTGTTAGGTTATTATGGACCTATTTTTCATGTAACGTGTTAGGTATAACCATTGTCGAACAGTCTTTGGTTTAAGCCTTTGTAGTCGAAGCTTGTCAAAATAATATAAAAAAATAGTTCCTACCTCAAATAAAATGCGTCTCCATTACAAAGACAAATTGCTTAGTGCTGTCTAAGGAAATAATTGTAGTTTACTTAATCGCATGAAACCCATAAATACACTGTCAACATAATGCGCAGTCATTAATTGATAAAGCAAGTGATATATGTGGATATCACTGAGATATAAAGGTTATCATGTTCGTATTTATCAGTTGAGTCTTTCTTATGTGATGGCTGTAATCGGCATCGAAGTATTTTTCGTGTAACGTGTTACGTTTAATTGATTACAACCTATTTATCGTGTAACATGTTACGTGTATCGATCTTTGTTTCGTGTAAAGTGTAACATACGAGGCGCGTCCCAAAAGTAAGTTTCCCACTCGTCCCACAGCTAGCAAACCTTATATTGCGCGAAGCGACTGTGCGTACGTGATAGAGCAATGACGTAGCATGGCGCATGCACTAACGGCACCTCCCGCGTTCTCACAGTAGCATCGTTGCAGCTGTTGAAGATGGAGATTCTTATTCCAGCTCCCGCCGACTGTGAAGTGCGGTCAGTGATAACGCTAAGCCGCACACGGCTCGACGGACAGCAAGTCTCCTGCAGGAGTTCAGCTGGGAGGTGTTTAATCATCCACCCTACAGCCCGGACCTCGCTCCCAGTGATTTCCATCTTTTCCTACACCTCAAGAAATTCCTGTCCGGTCAGCGTCAGCGTTTTGAGAATGACAGAGAGGCGGAGATGGCTGTCACACAGTGGTTCCAATCCCAGGCGGCAGACTTCTACGACACAGGTATTCAAAAGTTGGTCCCACGGTATGACAAATGTCTCAATTCCGGTGGCGAATATGTTGAAAAATAGCTGGACACTTGCTGTATCTGTTGCAATAAATATTTCCATGAAACTGTGTTTTGTTTCTGTAAACGGCCCCAGGGAAACTTACTTTAAGGACGAGCCTCGTATTAGGTGTAATCAGTATCGATCTATTTTGTATAACGCGTAACATGTTAGGTGTAGTCATTATCGATCTGTTTCGTATAACGTGTTAGGTTTGGTATGCATCATTGTTAATGTAAGTAGATCGTACAGGACATTAAGTAGTGAAAGGTGCACAGAATGATGGCGCACTTGTAAGTAG